AGGAATTCTGGATGGCAGGCTGGCACACCCTGGGCCCACTTCTTAGTTTCCTCACCAGAGCGTGAGAGGAAGAAACACTAGGCCCATACCTGAGTACAGGAGTGGTGACGCTCCTATATAAAAGGGAGACAATGAGGACATAAAAAACTACAGACCCATCTCATTACTAAATGTATCCTACAAGATCCTAGCCAAACTTCTAGCCACCAAACCCAAACACAGAAACAACAAAACTAGTCAACATAGCAACTAACTTCTACAAAGAACTTCATACCTCCAAAACACCTATAGGTGGTAACAACTTAAGAAACAGAGCAAGAGAGAAATTCTTAACCCATCTAGATCAATCCATCTCATCAGAAACACCCAAAACACTAAATGATCCCATATCATTAGAAGAATTATGTCAAGCCTTGAGTGACCTCAAACCCAAGAAAGCGCCAGGAAGGGACGGCCTCTCTAAGGAATTCTGGATGGCAGGCTGGCACACCCTGGGCCCACTCCTTAGTTTCCTCACCAGAGCGTGAGAGGAAGAAACACTAGGCCCATACCTAAGTACAGGAGTGGTGACACTCCTATATAAAAGGGAGACAAAGAGGACATAAAAAACTACAGACCCATCTCATTACTAAACGTATCCTACAAGATCCTAGCCAAACTTCTAGCCACCAATGAACAAGATCACAGGAGGTTGCTTCCACCTAGATCAGACAGGATTCATTCCAGGAAGACTCATCCTGGACAACGTAATGTCTCTCTGAGAAGCCACAAGAATAATTAACCAAAAACGGATCGTTGTTGCCATCCTCTTCTTCGACTTTGAAAAAACATATGATCAAGTTAATTGGAACTTTCTTCAGGTCAGCATGGAAAGAATGGGAGTAGGACCCGTATTCCGAAAATGGGTGAGAATACTCTACAATGACGCACAAGGGATAGTCTAAGTCAATGGCTTCTTTCATCCCCTACTCAATGTTAAGGTGTAACACAAGGGGACCCACTAGCAGCACCGATTTTCCTTTTCGTTATGGAAGCCATAGCCGCTTTCCTGAGAGATGATAGATCCATCGAGAGAATAGAAAACATCAAGGATGAACGTGGTCAACGCCTCCATCTCCCTACTACCTTCCTCTTCGTAGATGACCTTACAGTTCTGATCAGGGTATCAAACTCCTCATTTTAAGCCCTAATAAGAGCAATGCAAATATTCCAACTGGCCTCAGAAATGAAAGTCAACTGGACCAAGACAATAGGTTGGTGGACCACAGAAACACCTCCCCCCACATAATATTCCCCAACAGGTCTACATTGGATAGATCCGGATTCACCAATACGTTTCCTGGGCATAAACCTTAATCTCAAAGGATGTCACCAAATATCGGCAGCAACACTCCAATCTTCCATGATTAATAGTATGCACATCTGGAAATCCACACACGCTTCCCTATTAGGAAGGGTACTGGCGCTCAATAACTCGAACCAAGCAATGATGTGGTACTCTACATCCATCTGGTTCCCAACTACTGACTTACACAGTTAGTTGAGGAAAAAAACAGCAGCGTTCTTATGGAGAGGTAATCCAGATAAGCAACATTGTATCCACAAGGTGGTCTGGGAGATAGTCACCAACCCAAAGAGTAAAGGGGGCTTAGGTCTTATAGATCCAACCCGCCGATAGTCACCAGCCCAAAGAGTAAAAGGGGCTTAGGTCTTATAGATCCAACCCGCCAAATACATGCCTTACAAATCAAATGGATTATAAGACTAGCCCTTCAAGACAAACTACAATGGACCCCCTTAGCCCTAAACCATATCAAAGAAATCGCACCATTTACTTCCCCAAACAACACGACAAGTGTCTTATTTTCAGCAAATACTGGCCACTACCCAAAGGGAATCAGAGACTATCCGACCAAACACTCCATCTGAACACTAATGACACCCCCCAGACTACATCCCTCTGGGAGCGAATTCTACATACCTGGAGAATCATCTTCCCAGAAAACAGAACAGGCGCAAAGAAAAAGGATGAAGTCCTCAGACAACCCCTTTTTAGCAACCCACTAATCAAGAACGATAAAGGGGAAAGCCTCCCACTCGTGAAATCTGACCCCAAATGGGGGCACTGGGTAGAAAAGGGAATATGGCAAATCAAGCACATCTAGGATGATCAAAACAAAGTCTGGAAAACAGAAAGAGACTTACGAATCAAACTAAAGGGGGTACATCACTTACAATCTAATTTAGACCACATTGTAGATTGCATTCCTCTACACTGGTGATCCCTACTAAAATCAATTAAGAAATGGCAACACGGAGACTGTGCCACCACCACTGACACCCCACCAATCCAAAAAGTTCTTTCATTCAAGAACTATGAACCCCTTAACAACAGATGGATATGCTGCGACATACACACCCTAGAAGAACCAGGAAACCCGGTAAGCCTTATCAACACAAAGAACAAGGAGCATTCAAAAGTGCATGGGTCCTAGGGACCATCTCACGCAGGTGTATACATGTCATGCATCATCTTCACACGCAGTGAACAATAGTCTCAACCATAGACAAAGGTAGAGAAGAAGAGGACCGAGTTTCACARCTTATATTATCAGAAATATGATTTCAAAATGTTTCAAAGTTCCCCTGAGTCCAGCGCTCATCAGCGCAACACAAATCTCTT